CAAGTTCTAAAACAACAAAATAATCGGGTATATTGCACAACGGGGAACCACCATTGCAAACTAAAAAAAAATTCAATACACGCTTCTATTTATATCGTGCGCTTTAGGATTTTGAAAGAAAGTTGCTCACGATTAATACAGTTTTCACCTGAGCATTTTTACACAGAGATATAATAAAAAAGGGATCTTTTAACTCGTGCGGTATGGTAAACGCATTATATTATGATACGGTTCAAGCATATTAATTATCACTGCGTATACTGTGATTAAACTTATTGTAATGAAGAATAATGTTTTCTTTTTGTGTACTTGAAACTGGAAACATACTGGCATATAATCCCAGATCTCAAATTTTAACACTATATCAGCCCTAGAGCTTTTAAAAACCGATTAAAATTGGCTTCCTCCGATCACAAATTCAGCTATAATATGGCTTTTTTTTTTGCTTATAATCATTTTACGAATATTTCAATTGGATTAAAAACTCACTGGCCTAGTGCGACGGTTCCATATGTTAAATGACCTTTTAAGTCATTTACCATACGTTACCAATGTTGACCTATAACCTTAAATGACCTGCCATAGGTCATTTGGTCATAACGAAGATTAATATGACTTATGACCTTTTTTAATATACTGTAGTAAGAATGATAATAAAAAAATCACTAGCATTTAATATGATCATATGACTATCAAAAAGTCATATGATTATATGACCAAGGTCATATAGGAAAAAATGTTATGACATGTAATTGGATACGATTCCTGGATCACTATATTTGGTAACAAAACAATACGTTCATCAAAACAATAAACGTATTAATTTTGTCTTTATATCGATATCCTATTACAACAAAATATCCTAAATCAAGCAAATGTGATGTTCTTTGAGTTGGTTTTTGGAGATAGACCAAACATGAGCATGGGTCACTCAGTCTATTTAAAGGTTCATTGCAGAAGATAAATCGTCTGAAAAACAGCTTCAAGGAGCAATAGTTTTAAATTTGTTTTTAAAATTTTTTTATTTCATAAAAACTTGCTTGAGACCTCATATCTAACAATTTCACCTAGTACTTTTGAGGTAATTATTTAGGAACTTAGGATGCAAGACGGCTGAGTGGTGAAGAGTACTAATGACGGTCTCTTTTATTAGTAGCTCTTTTATTTAAATATATAATATGTCGAACTTTAGACCTTGGAGCAACTTCCTTAGATAATTTGCACTTATTAATCGAAGTCTTGGATAATATTTTATGTTATTGGACAATATTATTTATGTTATCTATCACGTACGTTCTAATTAGGATACAACTTTGGGTTGTTATAAACCTAGTCATTTATGATACGCTGTTACGTGGTGACTAGGATAAATAAGCTAATCTTTAGCTGAAACTAAAGTATCCTATTAATTTTGTTCATGGATCAATTTAGATAAGTTCGAACTTCTTTTTACTGTTATTTTTTATTTTTATTTTTTTAATTTACTAACATCAATAAGTATTTTTTGATGTTTTTTTAGTGTCATTTTTTATTATAGTTATTGTCTGCCGTGTCTTTAGTTGAGCCATTATTATAGAAGTTATCATTATTGGTAGTGTCATTATTGAAATCGCCGTTGGTGTAGATTGTAGGCTTTGTTGTTTCGGTAGCATTGGTAGACTTTTGTCATTTCGGTGTTGTTAGTGAATATTCCAGACTTATATTTTTACCGGACACGGCTTTAGCTATTCCAGGTACTTAGTTTATATAACATTCATATAATTGGTTGATGCAATCAATTACCGGAAACGCACGATTTGCTACATATTTCTACTTTCTAAATTGTGCAATGTTAGGTGAAAAACGTTAAACTAAAAATCATTTGGTATATACAAGTATCGAACGTATTTGGGCAATTTATTATTACATATCGATATGATTCTTTTAGAAACACACTAACATAATCATCCAAGTATACCACCTATATAAAAGGTATTTATCTGTTCTGTGTTTGTTTACTGTCACCATCGAATAAGAGAGTTTCCATCAATCATGCCGAGTTTAACTCCGATGTTTGACGTAAGAGAAGATTCGGGAATTGGATGAAAATAAGAGATCTCATATTTCATGATTATTAGCCATTTATTTATATAAAAGAATGTATATTTATGCATTCTTTATTTACAGAGAGCATTATTTGATGAACGAAGGGCAAGAGCAATCTTTTAAACACATTCTCATTTCTATGAGGTCTACGTTAAGATTATAACATCTATACTACTAACTCTGAATCACACATGCTTTCTCACAGACAACTCATTCTATCAAGTTTATGCGGGAGCGTATACACACCAGTAGCTACGTCTACGCGACCATTGGGAAGTTTACGCTCCCGGAGGGATCCACATGGATTAAGCCATTATGAATACATAAGAATGCCTAATATAGAAAGGTACGATTACCATGGCTATGGTGATACATTTATATGACTACGTAGTGCAACTATTTGGGACGTTCCAAACTATGTGTCATTTAGTATCACATATAGTTTCGACAATAAGAAAAAAAGCAGCCGAAACTAACACTATACTAATTATCACATGGTTTGCGACGTCCTAAATTGTTTGGGTTACATCTATATACGTGACAACGTAATGAACTAGGCAAATACGAAAGCGAGAGGCACAGAGAAAATTATTCGTAACACTACCAACAATATATCCTTACTTCCTCTTTCACCTTTCCAAATTCCCTACGCAGTGCAGTCACAACAAAACATGAATCTATTTAATAATTTCTGAATTTTTCCAATAATTTAGATTTATTCTGAAACCTTGGCTTACAAAATACGGTTGATAAATCTTCCATAGACTATATTACTAACATCTTATAAATAGCATTCACAAATAATACAAGTACCGTAAATTGGCATATAGAGTACCCGGGTACGTTACAGGATACACTTCAGGGAAAGAAGGTATGGTGATAACTTCTTTTGATCTACCAATAATATTACGGAATCAGGTTAAATATTATCATGTGAATTCGAGTCCTGTTATTTTACCAGAAGGGATTCTTTTTGTCGTCGTTACCGATAGTTCACCTAGCAATTAGTTAACAAAATATGTACATTAAGAAAATCAAAGTCTAGTTAAATGGTTATTACTTTTTGCTCGAAAATAGGTTTAACTTTCGACTTCACCGAAAAATGGGTTTGTATACAAACTATTGTTTGCTTATTGTGAATTTATTTTTAGTGGTTCTCTAATAGAGATTTCTTATTTGCTAGAAGTTTACTATTTCACAGGGATTTTAGACTTTACCAGAGATTCTTTTTGCGTAATGGTTTGACTTGTCTTCCCCAGTTTTAAGGTTTGCTTTTCATCATTACTATAAAATAATCCGGCTTAATCAAACTTTATAATACACCATGAAAGTCAAGGCCCGGCTCTAATAACGTTTATATCTTTGAATACAAGATCATTTTTATTAATTTCAAATTTAAGGTTCAAAGTTCTTATATTTTAAGTCCTCGTAGGTTTAACATTACGTGACATTTCGTGTTTGAAGTTAGTACTTGTCTAAAGTTGCAATTCAAGCACTTGAAATTGTAATTGCCTAAGATTACTAAGTCGTATAAGAAAAATCAGTCAGGGTCGTGTAGTGAGTGGTCACGTCAAATTTTGATGCGACGTAGGATTTCCTAAAGAGATGAAAGTGACAATATAATATCAATGACTGAATATTTGTTAGTTCTATTCATTTGATATATTTATTTAAGATTTAAAACTTTATAAACACCGTGTAAAATTGCGAATAACTGTCGAATAACTCGAGAACAAATTTGTATATGGAGAACTCCATATTTAAATTTTCGATTTTTATATGTACTTGAAAGGTTTCATAAGGGCGTCAAACAATGATTATATTTGAAAGGATTCTTCCATTTTTTGCGACTACTAAATTGTTATATAGTCATTAACTATGTCTCAATAGTTTAAGATGAACGATTTGAAGTCATATTAAATTATTAATATTATATTGCATTATATGCTTTAACCATTTTTTTTTCTATCCATTTGAAAGGTTCATTATATCGACATTAACGTAGTTAAATTTGAAATAGGTCATATTTCAATCAGTATAAATTATGAATCGATGTATAACTACCATTACATCAATCGATTACACATTTATAAACTAAGTTGTTATTAAATTTAACAGTATAATTTAAGTTGCTTTAGATTTCATACCAACCTGGATTACATTTAGAATTCCTAAGTAGACTCTAAGCCTACAATATAAATCTACGTTAATTTCATTCCAACCTACGCGTACGGCATATATATCAAATTGTTAAGGTTCAGATCTTGCAACTACATTGAAACATATAAATCGACACTGGTTACCATTAAGCTAGTACTAACACTAACGTAATAATCTCTGAATTTAATACCAAGATCACGGGCGATTAGTATGATAACTACACAACTATCTTCTCAAACCTTTTACTTTACAATGACCATATTTATTTATTTGCCGGTTTTTATTTATATTTCTATACTATTTTTTCACGCTTGTTGTTGGTTCTTATTTATTCATATGTTTTTTAAATTATATATCTATATTCTTTTAATGATTATTACTAATTTTTAACCCGGTTTGTTGACGAAAAGTAAAAGTTGCTGACTGAAGAAAAAAGAAGCAAAAATTTTGTAATTGTAATAAAGCTAAACTTTATAGAACACTAACTTTGATTTTAAAAATAGTGTAGAAACATAATAAGAACCAGTGAATAAACCAGTTACCATCATTGGGTCATTATCCGATCATCTGATCGATTTGCCAATACTTTCATTAGTAATTATATCTCCATCATGAGTTCTAATACTTCTTTATTAAATCAATTAGGCTTACTAATAAGGATAAGCAAATCTAAATGATAACGATAATTTTCAAGTTTCTAAAATAAATTACAAAAAAAAAAAAAACAAATAAATAATGATCACAGTTAATTTTCGTTATTTTATAATTTGGATTTGTTCGACGTCTTGTTCTTGTTCTTGAGGATTCAAAAATTCTCGTTGTTTATTTTTGGGTTCTTTGATTCGACTCTATTATTGTTGTTAGGGGTGAAGGTTTATAACGTAAATGTGTGGAATACGTAATATACGAAAAAAAAACAAGTAATTTAAGAATGGAACGAAATTATATTGCATGTACAAAATATTAAATACATGTTGCTTTATACTTTTTCGCGATAATCCAGTTTCTTAAATAATGTCAAGAATGCCGTTGCTAATAATGATCCAAGAATTGGCCCAAGATAATAAATCCAGTTTGCTGTTCCATAATCTCCTGTGATCAAAGCTGGTCCAAATGTTCTTGCTGGATTTAAACTATTTATTACCAATTTAATGGGTTACTTGTGTAGTAATTAATAATTTAAATGTGCAATATAGAATAATAATAGAATAATACCTGGCTCCCGTATATGGTCCGGCTGACATAATATTAAAAGATATATATGTTATAACAATGTTAAATAAAATTTTGATTATGTTACCTATGGTTCTAGAAAATAAATGTTACCTGCGATTCCAGAAATGAAGAGTGCCCATCCGATTCCAAGCGCTGCGACTCCTGGTGTTTCATCATTTCTTATATCCTCATACGCTTTATTCCATTTAAATATTGCATGTTTTTCGACAGCAAGCATGAACACGGCTAATGTGAGTATTGAAGTACAAAAAGTTTCCAACAATAATCCTTCCATAATTGTAGTTCCCTCAGCCTTATATTTTGTAAAGGCAAATAAAATATAGTACTCTTTTAGTTTTTTAGTTTTTTTTTTTGAAATTTAGGTTTTATATTACATTACCAAAGTAGTAGCACCACCAGCTGGACCAGGTTGAACAACATCAATTAAATATGCACCAAGTAAAGCGCCTAAGAACTGTGCAATAATATATAGGATTCCTTTGATGAAACGAAATTTTTCTTCAATGACCATTAATCCAATGGTGATAGCAGGATTAAGCACTACAATTAATGGTAAAAGGTTTAAAAAAATGTAATGTGTCGAAAATAATTTGAATTCGAAAAATTTATAAATCTAACCTCCGCCCGAAATCGGTGCCCAAATCCAAACATTTACTAAGAGAGAAAATCCCCATGCAAACGGTCCCGCGATGAGTGCACTGAAAATAATATAGTAATTCTTTGATTAATAAAGGAGTATACAAATTTTTGCATTAATGAATAAGTAGATAAAGTTATATACGTACACACCGGGATTAGAATCCGCGATATTGTTTGAGAGTGCAAGACCTCCTCCAACTCCTATGTACAATAAGATATACTACCGTCATCAAACGCTCAAAGTGTATCACTTAATTATAAAAAACAAACAAGATGATTTATTTATTACCAAAGAATATAAAATATGCAGTTCCAAGAAACTCTGCAAAACTTTCAATTAAATCTTGTTTCAATTCACCCATTATCTTATCGATTCTTTTCACAAAGAAAAAGATTTATATTTGCACGGATTATCAAAAGTTTCCTTTTCTAAAAAAAGAAAGCACCCTATAACTAGGGTACAAGTATTGAATTCTTCTAAAATGACACGAAAACCTTATTTAAAAATCTAGTAGTATTGAATATTAATACTAAAAAATTTTAATGTGTTAAAAAAATACGGCGTAAATTCAACTTTTGACAAAAATGAGAATTTTTGAAAAAGCTTGTGCATATAAATAATTATGGCTTATACATTAATCTGAAAGGTTTAGCGACAAGAATTATAAAAGAGCGTTAGGTCATTTGAATATTTCGCGTTCAATTAAAAAGCGTATATAGACTAAGCCTCGAAAGAGGTATAAGCCGAGTTATTGGATGTTAAAAGAACTGGATTATTTCGTTGAATCTAATTAATCTGTAGTGATAAATTGTTATAACTTTTATCGTACTTACAGTAATTCATAGAATTGTCATTTCGCGTTCACATTTTGTGGCAATGTAAATAAATTATTGTTTTGACTGCGGCATATAATTTTTATATTTGTTTAAATATGGCTTATTTGTTGTTTTATGAGGCACAAGTGTAATGACAAAAGAATTAGGCCATAGATGTTTATTTTCTCTAATCACGTTTTTTTACGCAAAAAAAAAAATTAACCTCAGTGTAGAATTTACGCTACCCAATATTTACATAATAAAAAAAGAATTTCATGCAAGAATCTCGTTACCATTATAAAGCTAAACATTAAGAAAAGCCTTTTGCCATACTTAAGAAATTTGAAGCCACATACATCTCTCTTTGTTAAGGCGTAAGTTCTTATTAAGATTCCGATATTTGTATTTTAACATCCGATAGATAACTTAATGGAATTTTAGAAAGGCTAAACCCAGAAAATGGATATTTGGCAAAACAAACTGAACAGGCATATTATAATAAGCCATATACTATTTTTTTTCACCTGTAGAATTATTGATTTAAATCATGTAGAATAATGCAAATTTTTTGTACTGTGTGTATCATTTATTAACTCTTTTGATATAGATGTTTAGAATTCTTTATTCAGTTATTCGGATTTAACTTTATTATCTAAACTTTGTTAAATTGTAAATCTATTCTTAACGTTAACAACCCATCCATAGTTAGAAATGTAGTTGCATGTATAAATTAGATTTTATAATTGGATTGTGGTGTTAATGTTAGCATCACATTGTTGCAGTCAGTGCTGTCAATGGACATGGACATATAAAAGATATGTCCATGTCCATGTTCAAACTATGGACATGGGGACATTAACTGTCCATGGACGGTCCGTGTCAATGATTTGCTTGGACATATGTCCAGGTTGCGCTTAGATTTAGTGTGCAATGGTTTCAACAGATGATTGTCATTGGTTAGGTGTAATGTGAGCAGTGATTGGAACCGAATCCACATAAATTCCGTTTCCACTTACAACATTTATATAATTTGTTTACACATTTGAATTGCCTATTCCTTTAGCGTTTTGCTTTGTACAATATCCTACTCCAATCATTCTATCAATAAATAGAATTTAAAGGTTTATAAAAAAATCGTGAGAGTAATTGTGATATTATGAAAGAAAATAAACATTAACATACCCATTTTTCTTTTATCTATAATTTTAATTTCAAAATAAAATATCGCACACTCTAAAAGAATTGGATGATTTGCTCGAACTATAATAGCTTTATTATCAGGATCTTTAAAAGTTTTTTGATAAATTAGTTAAACTATCAACGATTAATGTTCATCAATTCTGTTTCAGTTCATTTTACCTGTATAATTCATTTTAAGTCCACTTGAATCTATGTAATAAGTGGTGTTTATTTTCAGTCTCCTATGCAGTCGGATTGCAAGTGTATCAAGTGACTTAATTATCATTGGTTCGATGATTACAAAATAATTACATAGGTTTGTGAAAATAAAAGTTATCGTACCTACAAAATAAATGTCATCGATCAGATTGAAATGATCCAATCATATATAGTAATTTCAATTTCAGTTATCAACCGCCACAATCACCAATGTTTTAAAAACATGATTTAAAAAAATCCAAAAATCATAAAAACATTTTTTTGCCATCCCTAAGAGTTGGCAATTCTCAATCTTCCATTGAGTTAAAATTCTGCGATAAATTCTGTAAAAGCATAGATAATACAAGCATTTATAATAGAACACAATCTATGCATATTTCCAGAATAGTTGGTTCTTTTTAGTATTTAACTATTTTAATAATAATTCAATATTAAATATTAAGGCTAATTGACGAATGTAACAAACGTATTGAACGTCTTGAGATTTCTAAAAAAAATATTGATAAATTATTAAGAACTATTCGGGCGGAATTACAATTTCTATTTACTTTCAAGATAAGTTGTAACGAATTTAATGCGTTAATCCGGTAATCCAGACAGTCGCATTTCACTTTGTTTATAAAACTATGTAAATGGAAACCATTCAAGGTCCGAAAGACTTAAAATTGCTTTTTATGGTTGATCACAGACAGTCCGATCCGACAATGGGTATTTTCGAAGCAAAATGTTTGTTTTATAAGATCAACAAATCAAAACCCTTAATTTGCGGACACACACATAACAAGGTCATTATTAATGTCCTTCGGACAATTGATCTCTGTTCTACTTCCAAAAGATATTCTTGCTGATAAACATCTATAACACTTATTCTTTGGACTATAATAATATAATGCAGTCAAGAAATATACCAAAATATGGGGATCCGCTAAAGCGGGAAAATATATTTAATCTACATATTACACAAATTAGATTCTTGATACCTATATAAAATAGTAACCATAACTACTTCAAAAAAAGTAATTCACCCGCTTTAGCAAAAACCTCTTTGCATTTTAAATTTTAAGAGGTTGACGCACAAAACGCCACCATTTTATTATTATATAGCATCATTATATACATTAGCTTATCATTAAATGTCTTTATTTTTACTTTTTTTTGTTTAGTTTAGATTAAACACAAAATTATTTTTTAAAAAAATTCAAACCATAAAAAAAAACCATTTAAATTACCCAATTATTCTATATTATCACTTAAACTAGGTGGATATGGCACAGGATTTCCATTCGCATCAACAATACCCCAAGTTTTACTAACTCTGTTGTCCATTTCTAATTCTAAAACGGCACCGTTGGCGATATCACTATGCCTAAACCAAGTTTTATGCCACTCCACGCCATTAATTTTTGCTGATTGTACATATCTATTATCATTTGATAAATTATTCGCTATGATAGTAAAGGTTATTGTAGGAGATATTGATAAAATAATTGTTGTTTGTTCGAAATGTGGGGAATTTATGAGATAAATATCTTGGCCAGCGCTTTGTATATGAAATATATAATTCAAAGTATGAGATTGATAATAAATATAAATAATTAATAAAAAACAAGTTAAAAACTCACAGCGGAAATATTCCCATAGCATGGAAGACAAACCAACTACCCATGGCACCTGAATCATCATTTCCTAGCATATATGGAATAAAGTAAGCATTAAATACGGTATATAATCATTACTATATATGTGTGCCTAAATTCGGGACTATTTACGGCATTACGGCATTTTTTATATTTTCGGCAGCCTCTTCAAAATGCCTAAATGCCGAAAATAATTACGACAGTCAAACCTATTTTCGGCAGCCGTAATTATTTCGGTTCCCGAAAAAATAAACTCATAATTTATTGCAGCCACAGGCCCAACTCCTTTTGTACAATCCTCTAGCTAGTGCTCAACACAATCAACCAAAAACTTGACACTCAAATACTTATAATTAGTCGGACATCAAATGCTCATAGTTATACATACAAATTAATGTACAGTACGTATAATTAGGGAGCCACCTTTTGCGGCCTAATTAAAAGTGCTTCTTGTGAAATTTTACTAATGGAGCTGTATTGATCTAATTCTAACATAATGTGGTTTTTCTGACTTAATTTTATACAACTTTTTATTTTGAAAAACAATGTGTATGTTTTTTGACTATAAAGTTACACCTGATCTTTAAATTTTGATTGGTCAAAAATTCATTTTTTGTGGGTTCGCTATCTAAAATCCTTCAGACGACCCTCATAAGTAGTTATATATATTATCATAGACCAACAGGAGGGAACGTTGATGTTACACAATTGATTTCACACCGTGTGTAAAATCAATTGTGTAACATCAACGTTCCCTCCTGTTTCATAGACCATATAAATATTCGGAGCTTCAATATGATACAAAAGCTACGGTTTGATACAATTCTTTCATAGAAATGTAATTTTTTTTGATATGTTTGCATATAAATCTTATAAAAATTGTATCAAAACAGCAATTTAGAAAATTTGTCTAACCGCACGCCGCACGCGTGTATAATGGATACGTATCATTCCATCGGCAATCGCTTCGCCGAACACTCCATCACACAAAGCGATGATTATTAATAATTGTTGTTCAATATTAAGTGAAGTAATCGTCAATGAAATTATACGTATCCAATAATTTAGGCACACATGTATAATAATGATGTCAGAAAATATTTTCGACATTATCGGCAAGCCAAAAAGCAATTTAACGCTCATGTATAATCATTACCGTATCGTCGCAAAATAACTCCCGGGGGCGTTATTTCGAGACGATACAGTATAAATTAATTTAACAAATTAATCTTTAAACTTACCCGGAATGCCACCTCTGTCGCTACTAAAATGTGTTCTTAAGATATCTCTTATGATATTAACTGATTTATACTGTTTGCCAATAAAATGGTATAAACAAGCATGGAAAAATGAAGGTTCATTACCGATATTGTAAAATGAAGATAAATAACCGGATGAAAAGGTTTTGTCAAGACGTTTTTCGAAAGCATCCGGACCACCTGATAAAGAGATTAACCCTTTGACATCTACTCATGGAGAATATATAAATAAATTTAGAATATCAAAGATAGTTGAGTTATAATGAATACTAGAAGTCTTTGAACTTGTATTTTACCATGCGGTACATCTAGGCTATATTCCCAAGAAGTGCCCTCATAAAATGGAGTTTCACCACCATTTTTATACAAAACTTCCCATTCAGTATCGAAAGTACCATCCAGAAATCTGGGTAAGATAAATCCCTTAACACCTTTCATATCAAAAAACATTTTTAAGTATAGAATAGTATGTAAGAATAAATAAATTATTAAATTGTGTTTATCAATATACCTCTATGTGTCTTGTTGGAATACCATAAATTTTCCCAATTTCTGGCCCTTTTTTTGTATTTAATATAATCATCATACTTTTTCATTGCTATTATTAATGATACATAAATACCAAATTTTATTTATTTATTCTTCAATATTGACCTGGACAAATAAACATATGAAAATAATATAAAGTTCTTTTTTTTAATTACCTTTAGCCATAAGAGCAATTGAATAATCATTGGCTGAATATTCCAAAGTTTTGCTGCATGGATTAATAGCATAAGCAGTTCTTCGATGAACTGGAGAAGGAATATAACCAAGTTCTTTATAATTCGTAAGAAAGAGCCTTCCCTCATAAAGACCTTGCTCCCATGGATCAACCTCTGCATCTTTCAATAGTGCCTCGTATGCAAGTTTCCAATCAATAGAATACATTCCTAATTTTTTGAGATATAATTCTGCCTACAACATAACATAGGTTAAGTTCAATAAAGTTTCCTAAGTTATAAATGGATATATAATATATTTACCACCAACATGTCAGCGTTTGAACCACCCTGTGTTATACCATTATACATTCCACTCCGTCCATCAGGCATATATCCCACATGTTGATATATATCGATAAGAGATCGAACTATGTCAATAGCCCGTTCTGGTTGGAAAAGTGTGAAAAGTGGATTTGTTGTCCTAATTAATTAGTGAATAATAAATAAATTAAAAAACCTTGTAATTTTATTAACGCAAGATTATCAATTACGGTAATTACCTAAATGTATCCCACTGCATCAATGTGATAAATGAACATTTTATTTTTTAATAAATTTGACAGTTTACATATAAATCAAATATATATTTTAATAAATTTAATAATTTACACATGAATCAATAAATGCTTGAATATACGCACCAGAGTATAAAAATCATCGTAATTAGGTATTGGTCTACCGTGATTATCAAAAGATGACCATTTTGGATTTTCACCGGTTCTATAAAGTCATAAATTAGAATAACAAATAAAAAATAAATATTCATGAAAAAGAATAAGAGACATACCGATCACTTGGCATAATCATAGTTCTATATAAACTAGAATAAAAGATCTTTTGCAAATCGGTTGATCCGCCATCAACTCTAATTCTAGATAATTCTCTTTCCCATGCATCTACAACACTTTGTTGCGTAGCATTAAAATCAAAATCTGGTACTTCCGTTTCAGCACTCTTGCAAGCCTGATCGGCAGAAATAAAAGATATGCCGACTCTAGATTGAATCACAGGGTTTTCATACGTATCGAAAGTTAGGATTGCACCTAACGAGAAATCATTGCCACCAACTTGATGTGTCGAACCATTAGTAATGGAACCATCCCAGAATGTTGCAAATCCAGTAGCATTTGTGTCAAATTGAGAGCAGAAATAGACTTTATAGGGACCACCATTGTTCCAACCACCAGTATATTGACCTATACCTTTAACTTGGTTATGAGAAACAGAATATATCGCACCATTTATCCAACGGGAACTGATAAAATTACCAGATGTACATAATGAACATAAAAAGTACAGTCGGCAATACAGTATAATATATTCAAAGAAACACCAAACACAAACCCGTAACCTTGAGTTAGAATATGAGCCAAATCAATGATGACATGAGCATGGTCAGAAGGGGGGAATGTGTATCTATGAAGACCAGTACGTCGGCCAGCGGTTAATTCAATCATGACATTATAACTTTCAAGGCCAAATTTAGCATAGCCGAGTTCGAACTCTTCAAATGACCGAGCCGAGCTATAATAATTAAGATTCAATTCATCTAAAGGTATTACGACAGGATATTGGCTGATAACTCCGTACTTTGGTTCGCCTGATTGTATTGTATCATGAAACTAAATGAGCAAACGTGACAAAAAATAAAAATTTTTTATGATAGAGTAATATTCTCACCTCCAGTTCCGCTAACATGTAGATCTAAATTTTAAGGTTCAAGTTATTGGTAGTAAAGCAAAATTATTTATATTTACAAAAAGTCAAATCACAATATAAGAATATAAGCGATGCCAGATGCGACTTGTAAGTTACGTCCTTATACATTTTTATAGTTTTAACTTTATGAAATTTAATTATGATAGCATTATTGAAAATCGAATTCCGTAACTAGTGTCAGGCATGATATCATTAAAATATAGTATCTGTTTTAGGAGCCTTATTTGTAAGTACATACATACTTACATGTATCAAATGCGAACGTGACTTACAAACATGACAAATTAATTTAAAGTTCATGCGTACGTACGAGTAATACCCATTATTCTACCATTAACCGTATATCTAGAAATTCATAAAATCTTAGTATCAATAGTTCGTTAAAGAACTATCTAATGCAATGAAGTTACTTACCCTGCATGGAAATCATGCTTATTATTTGTATCGACTCCTACTTTGACAAGTCCATATGGATGACAGGGACCATTAAAAACATGCCCACCTTTTTTAATAAATCAGTTAGTTTTGATGAATCGAAAGAATTGTTTAAAATGATAATATAAATACCATTTTCAGTTCCAATTGTGGGATCAACTAAATTCGCAAGGCCTTTTAAAACATCATAACCATTATTATCTATGAATAAACTTGATACCACTCCAAGATACCATTCTGTTATGAGATTTATTCTCAAACTAAGCACAAGGGTAAAGGTCAGAAACAGTGAAATAACCAAGAATAGTTTTTTTTTCCTTCTAACCATGTGAGATAAATGAGTGTATAAAAACGAATGTGTTAAAATTTAAGAAATAATTTTATATATACATATGTAAATTACCAGTTATAAAGTTTTTTTATCTCCGAAGACTGTGATACCCAATTTGAATGTTTTGGGGTAATTCAGTAAAAAAAAGTTGATAAAAAAGGAAAACATCTGTACACTTAATTAATTTGTTTCGTTTTTATGAGCAAGTTAGGATTAGTGGTCATGGGACTTTCACATGACTAAACCATGTTGATCTATCGAATCCTGAAATCAATCAAGAAAATTATTCAATTGCGAATAAATTTTATTGTTATCAGCGAAGCCATATTTATTATATGGGGTTGAGTCAATAGAAACCAAGCAAATATTTTTTAGTAAGTTTTTTAAAACTTTAAACAAGAATAACTTAACAAATATTTAATTAAATTTATTAAAGATTTTTTAAGTTATTCTTGCTCAAAGTTGCAAAAAATTTTTATTATAAAAATTTTGCTTGATTTCTATTGATCCACCCCATATATTATATCGGTATGAGTGTTGTAAGGGAAAATGAGATCTCGGGCTTTCAATTATATAAAAATAACGAATAAAATCATGGAAATTATATATAATTGAACCTCGATTACGTATTATATATGTTGTAAATGGAAACGGAAAACCAGTATTTTTGAGGTTGATTTTATCATATGTACACCCTAACCCTAAGTTAACTAGGAAATTCCAAATTCCATTCCCACCTCGATATATATTGTTGATCAAAAATTTCCGCGTTACAGAATTGAAAGCCTGAAGGCTCATTTCCCTTGCCAACGCTCATATACTAAATTGTAATTCTCATCATCGTGGCTTTTTATTAGAGGCATGTTATAATCCTGATTTCATGTGATCAAAGAAACAATATCACTCATACAGTAATATCAATGTTGTTCACTAGAACGTTCCAGTTCCAATGGAAATTATTGCACTGAATTGAATTGGAGCTATAATGATAATAGCTTTCAGTGATAACGGTAAAATCTATATATTGGATCTTTGTCTTGAAAATCACCTTACGACACTTCCGATAGGACCCCGGTGTCGGTCATGCTTATGAGTAAATCATTTGCCTATGTTGATTTAATGGTTCATTCATTGACTATTGAATCAACAAAGGCAAAAATGACTTACACAACAACATGGTCGGCATTGGAAATGTCGTAAGGTGATTTTCAAGGCAAAGACCTTGCACTCGGTCCCGAGTAAATTGCTAAATTTTGAGATGATTTTTTCATTAACAGTCAATTAAAGTTGTTCTGAATTAAATTTAAACCTTACTTTTTTGTTGACAAAAAGTAGCATACTTTCTCTAAAATTCAAATTCTAAAATTTTTGTATCAGTCCATGTTGGTACAATATTTTGGATTATTTTTAGAAGGATATGCTACTTTTTGTTAATAAGAAAATACATCTTAAAACCCACATTAAAAAAATTGCAATAAGCACGTTGGACGACCATTGCAGGTTTGTGCATAAATGCGTTTAGGACAAAATTTGTGTTTTGATTTTGGTTAAATTCTCTTCTCAATAATAAAATAGTATTGAAATCACTACCTATCTATTACTAAATTATTGTTAAAAGCAAACCCACCATTAAATCACAAACTTACCTATTGTTGAAAACAGTTTTTTTTTTTTAAAAAAAAAAAAATATATATATTAACGGTGAGGCCTGAAAACATAGATTTACCTACTGCTGAAATTATAACTCACTATTGAAATCATAAGCTATCTATTAGTAAAATCATGAACCCACTATTGAACACACCTACTATTAAATCACAAGTAGAGATATAGACATACTGTCGTTATTAGTTACGACCTTTAACCCTGATTTTTTATACGTGTTAGGTAATTAAGTTACGTAAATATGTCTGCACCTCCATTTATTGGTCGTAATCATGATAATAAAATTCATAACAATTTATGATTCATGATTGGTCAGTGATTTTGTCAATTGTTTTATTCTATAAACAAGCACTTCTAAAGTATATTTATTATAAAAAGTGGTCTTATGTAAAGTCAGCTGATTAAATGTAAAGTCAAGCTGATTAAAAGATCGTTGAAACATTTTTAGATCCGTAGATCTTGAAAATGTGTTTAAAAAGCTACAAGTTATATAAATTTTATAGTGGTTTCTATTGCACTTTATACAACTTTTCTTTTGTTAGTTTGAAATTGAATTGTTCATATTGTACAACATGATTGACAATTGGATTTTTTAGCCAATAAAAGAAAATTTAACCATGCTCTATTGAAGTATCGACAGATCATCGATCATGGTACAGGTACTGTAAAGGATCAGTGGGTATTGTAAAATAATTTTTTTATGTTACACACCGGATGAAGGATCAGACGAATAGATTTAACAATAAAAAAAAACTAACAAAAACAAACTTCTTTTTTAAGAATAGATAAAACGCTTCGCTGAGCTACTTATATTTTTTAGAAAATATTGTAAAGGACTTTTAATGTATAATAATGTAGTTAAGGGATGGCAACGGTCAGTCATTTTCAGCTTAGCCGCGGCGATTATCTCATCCAAATTGGATGATTTTAATACCATTCGAATCGTCTCAATGAGACAATTCGAATGGTACTAACATTATCCAACTTGGAGTACTGGATCACGAGATATAGCTAACGACTACAAAACGGCTAGCCGACCGTTGCCATCCCTACGATTAACATTGACGTTTCTTCAGCTGAAACGTTGAATGAAACGTTACTCTTATTTGGGTAAAATTTAGTGATCTACATAGATTAAACAGAGCAAAGAAAAAAAAAACGAATGTTTAGCATCGCATCTAGTCATGTATAAATAAAACACCAGCAGGCGCAAAAAACAAAAACATCAAGCAAGAATACCAGGCGCAAAAACACCAAGAAAGAACACTGGAGCGCATCAAACAAGAACACCAAACAAGACACTAAGCAAGAACATCACACAAAATGACTTTGGGTAGATGATTATTTTTTGAGAATTTTTCTATTTCGTGTCTTTCTCCCGTTTGGGTACCTTGGATATTATTCTTCTCTAGTGTTCCTAAATGAGCCAGCTCAAATAGGCTTATTTGTCACATTCCTAGGCTTGTCACAGGCTTGGTATAGCTTATAAGCCTGTGTAACAATTAAAATTTAATTTAAATTTAATTTTAAATATAAAATTTAAAAGTTAAAAT